CCCATCTCTAGGTACTATATATCTTGTAAAATTACATGAAAATCATGTTACTAAAACTTAAGTGAAATTACATGTATTGTAAATTTGTAAAATGTAATTTTCAACCCTAAGTGAAATATGTTCCTGGGTTAATTTTATTATTAAACAATTAAAAAATTAAACTCCAGTCAAAATTATGTATAATGCGGCTAAAATTTTGTCGATTGTAGCTGTTGGCCAATCAAAATTGAGGTTCAACTATATGGTGCCTATATTTAATGCACATCTGAATTGTGTGCCAGATTAGTTCTAGACAACCAATCAGATTTTAAGATCAGGTGTAATGTTATACAATCAAAAAATTCAAAACAAGTATTCGTCTTGCCAAAAAATCATTATTTGCTTAAAAAATCATCTTCTGTGTTTTAATCAAAAGTTTTGCTTAACTGATTTTACTAATACCTTTTTAATATCTAAATAGAATAAAGTGAAGTAAAGACTTTACAAATTGCTGAATTAATGTCAAACTTTACATTAGTTAGAATAATATTAAGATATACATCAGTTATCTCTAATATCATACAAAATATCTAGATTTATAATTTAAGATTTATATTAACTAAAAGACCTTGAGCAAGCAAAATATTATAATAATTATTATTAAACATAATAAAAATGATAAAGCTATACTATATATGTTAGTTTTTAAAATGCTATCATTAAAATGTGTCAGAATATTGAATTCAGTTTTCTATTTGCTTTGGTATTATTTAGAAATATAAATTAAAGTATTGTTATTGTTTCATTTTTACATTATAAACTACTGAGAATCAAGCTTTTTTTGATAATCAAGTTAATTAGAAATTTAGATTATATCAGTTGATAATGACTTGTATTAGACAAAACTTATTTATTACTATATAAAGATTTTTTATATAAATTGGATGCATTGGAAATTTGCTTTCAAGAAATTTTCTTTAGACAGTTGTATTAAATTTATATAGTATTATTATAAATTTGATATCTTTAATAATTTATTTGTAGAGCTGTGGCGACCTAGTAAAGTGAATAGGTTGTCAACCCCCAAGTGGCAGGTCTAAGGTTCAATTCCCACATATGCTGAATTTTGGAAATTATATCTGTTATAATAACTGTCTCTACTGATAGGTTGGGTTTTGGGCATCTGTAATCTTAGGTACACCAAGTGGGCTCCACCTGACATTGGAAGCTCAGGGCATCTATGCGAAGTGTAATATTACACGATACATGTACATAAAGGAATGTAAAACCAGTGTCGTATAAGGCTTCAGGCAAACCCATGATAAGTCCCCTGGGCGTAAAAGGCTAAGAAACCAAAGAGATGGAAACCCACTTGGAAATTCCAAATAAAGAGGTAGCACAAACTTTTGATGGTATCATTGGACTAATGGAAGCCCATGAAACACCTTCATAGGAACTGTTGAATAAACTGGATGACAAAGATGTGTAGAGAAGCATATGACCAACCAGGCCGCTGGAATCATCAGAGAAAAAGAATACATAAGTATACCATACTGGGCTATCTAGATTGGGAGTCTGGGGAGTCAGTTAGTTCTAAGTTGCAGTAATAGGGGATGATGGAGAAGAAGTCAGAAAAATGTGTACCAGGGTTTGAATGAACTTTACAAGGGTAATAGCGGTCTAAGGGGTAACCCTGACTGCAAGTGTTGGCCTCAGCCATAGCATCAAACCAGGTTAGTGGTAAAAGAAAATATGGCTCACTCTGGTAGGTTTACCTCGAGGATAAAAATAGTCTAAGGATTATAGTCCTATGGTTAATAGTAAATAGATTTAGGTCTGTGACCCAGTGAAATTAATATTAGGGTTAGATAAGAGGGTTTAAAAGGAACACCTAAGCAGGAGTGTTAGGTACAACAACTGGTGAGGAACCCTTGGGTGAACTCCTTAAATAGGTAATATAGAAAAGTTACACATATAGCCAGTTGTACACTTGTCTAATAGTTCATTATAGATATGTCTATATAAAACATGTACCTGATATAAGTATTAATAAAAAGCTTGGACCAAAGAGATCACCTTAATACTGAAAAAAAAATAATAATAATTTATTTGTAAAATTTTTTAAGTTTTTAAATTCATTTATTATACTATTTAATCAATTGTTATATTCATTTACAATTTTATTGATAAATATTAATCTTCAGAATTCTTTTTGTTAAATATAAAGCATTAACTAAAAAAGAACATCTTATATTTTTTATATTAATATTCTTATCTGAATTTGACTTATAATTTCAACTTTGTATATGGATAAATGCTTGTCTCTAAATAATATTTTTCTTATAATGCCTTCAGTCTTTTATTATATAAAACTTGTTTTTTAACCCATTTTTAAAAAAATAATTTACAAGAATTCCAAGTTGAAAAGGTAGTTTCTATTTTCAAAATAATATATTTATTTTAATAAGAAATGTTAATATAACATATTTGATGTTAAAATATTAGATTAATAATTAAAATTTACTTCAATTTAAAGTACTAATCTGTATCATTTGAACAAATTTGTTTCAAGCTTTCTATTTCTAAATCTATTTTAAAAATAAGTTTGTTTATTTTATTAATTTTATGTTTAACATTCTACAATCTGTAATAAAAGCTTATAGTAAAAAATTTTACTAATCAAAAAAGAATAATTAAGTAGTTAGTTGAGTAATTATTAATATGAAATAAATTTACTTTAATTTAGAATACTAGTCTATATTATTTAAATGAATTTGTTTCAAGTTTACTAAATTTAATTTAAAAGTAAGTTTATTTATATTATTAATTTTTATATTTAGTATTTTATAATTTGTAATTAAAAACTATAATAAAAAATTTTAATGTTTAAAAAAGAACAGTTAACTGACTTGTAAATTAATTATAATTATTAAAATTTTTATTAGCATTATAACATTATAATCACATGTTGGTATAGTTTATTAAGTAATTAAAATTATAATGATGCTAGTAATATGACATATTTTATGTAAAAAATTTTATTAATCAAAAAAAGAATGATTAAATAACTTGTAAATTAGTTATTAATTATTAATATGAAGTGTGATACCAGTATATTATAACTAATCATATGAAAAATGCATGAAATATAATAAGTGCAATAAGTTACATTTAAGGTCAGAATGATATTTTGGATCCAAAAAAGTAAATTAGGTTTAATAAATAAGTCATATTTGTGAGTAATAAATTCAGTATTATAAATAAAAGCTGAAATAACCCTTAGAAACAGTATTCTTCATTGGCTTTATTAAAATACAAGTCTCAATACATTATAACATTTATAATAAAATACTAATACTAATCCCAGTACATACCTTGTAAATCTATAAACTTCATTATTCATTCAAGTTCTTGTTCATGTGACTTATTCTATTTATATTTATTGATTCAAAATAACCAAATCCTTAATCACCTATCAGTCAAATTTAATACCCTCTTTTAAAAAGATTACCTATTGTATATTATATAATAATTTGTATTGTGAAACAACAGAGTTACTGTTATCTAAACTTAACAGAAGTAAAATTTTTATTAACATTACAATAATATAATTACATATTAGTATATTTATTAAGCAATTAAATTGTGATAACACTAATAATATGATATATTTTGTATAATATTCAATTCATAATCTGAAATTAAATTTTATTTTAAATTTTAATATTAAATTTTTATTAACTTAATTTTATTAGAGTATAGCATATTAAGATATAGTTTTATTAAGATATAACATATTAAGATATAATGTTTTATAACTATACCAATAAATTATAATATTTTTATTTATTTATTTAATTTTATCTTTTTTATTTTTTTTAATAACAATAATAGTTTTGAAATATATAAAAATATTCGAAAACCTAAGTTTAATGTATACTAAGAACAAAGTAATGAAATCATGAAGTTGATGAAATTAATGATAAAAGCAGAATGATTTTGAAATCCAATATAAATGAAGAAATTAGATAACATCACTATATTAAATGTAATATAAAGCCAATTCAAATGAAAAACCCAATATTAATGTAAAACAATATCAAATGTGAAAACCAATTTCAAATATGAAAGCCAATGTCAAACGAAAAGTTAATGTTGAACGTGAAAGCCTACATCCAAGAAATAAAGAGCTTTTTTATACCCTTATTCATAATTATGTTATAATTATGCTATTTCGTTATTACATAATGATATTAATTGAAGAAACTTTATTTTTGAAGATCATATTGTGTCAGATTACGATTGACGCACGTCAGGTGACTAGAGTTCCTAAATATTATAACAGGAGGGAACGTACCCGAACCACAGTGAATCCCACACACGGTGAGATCAATTAAAATTAAAATTATTTTAGTTTTTTAATTAATCACACCGTGTGTGGGATTCACTTTGGTTCGGGTACGTTCCCTCCTGCTATCTATTATCGTTATCCATTTATTTATTGGATATTCATCAGAGTACAAGATCTATTGTAAAATGATGAAGATTTCAGTTTCGTAATGACAATTTCCGCCTTGACTTTTCATCAGTCGGAATATTTCCGAATATGATATCATATATTTCCGAATATGATATCATATATACGTATGTATATAAATATTAATAAATATTACAATATCTTTATTAAAAAACTGCTACATCCGGCTGAGTTTTCTAAGTTCCAGTTAAAATAAGCACCGCCGGAGAAAAAGCAGCTTCCGGCATTCGGAAATTTTGTGCCCTGATATCCATATATGAATATCTGTTTTACTATTGATATCCGGATAATGATCCAAATATTTGTCGGATTATTCAGATATCAATAGTAAATGGACGTATGTCACCTGAAAATTAGATCCGACGCAAGAATGCATCTGAGGCACAACAAACAACAAAAGTACATTTACTAAAGATATAATTGTAAATTTGCAGGTGAAGATATTAGGCTAGTATATTAGTATTATAAAATAAAATTATAATATTTAAGAACATTTTCTAGAATTAATTGTACCCGAATAAATGACCGAAGGATCAGTATCAGTAGAGTTTGCTTTAACAAACTCGAAAGATAAAATTTTACCATCTTCAGGAATACTAATGGACAAGAAACCAAAAGTGAAAGGAGCAGACCAAGTAGGATTAGCACAACCAGCACCAAGAGTAGCACCACCAGCACCTGAACCGAAATAAGCGACGCCAGAAGATGAACTGGGAGCCATATAAGAGAGTTCGTGGGTATGACCGTTGAAATAGCCCGATGCATTATGTTTTGCTAAAACTGGAGGAATTAAATACATTAAATAAGATTGAGCAGTATTTTCAAGTCCACAATCACCAACAAGTGGGTGATGACCGACAACAAAAAGCCAATCAGCATCCTGATTATCGATCAATTGCTGTTCAATCCAATTTAGTCTAGCAGTAATTTGATCATAAGTATATAAATTAAATTCTTGAAGAGTCGCTTTTAAATTATTTTCTCTAGTATAAGCGGTGTAGTTGTAATAAAAGGGATCAGTGTCAATGTGAATAAAGACGGCCGAGATATCTTTACCAAAGGTAACTTTTCTAACGTAATAAAGGGACGGTAAAAAGAATCTGGAATCATTATCCCAAAAATAGTCAACTTCAGCGGCGACATTAGAATACCAATCATGATTTCCTGCTACGGAAAACCATCGTACGTTCTTCAATTGGCCGCCATATACGTCTAACCAATAACTTTTCCACTTGGGATCATCTTTGCTTAATACACCTTCATGATCAACTTGATCAGTGACATTGGTAGTACTAGCATTTGAAGTTTGATAAAAGCTATCTAATAAAAGAATTATTATTATTTTTAAGTAAAATAAGTAAAATTCATAATTTAGACATTTTTGCAATATAATGCATTATTGATGAAATCATAAATGAAATGTATTTATTAACTAATTGATAAGTAAATATGGATAGAATAATATCATATATATTGCAAAATATTCGAATCGGGGCACTTAATGTAAATAATTAAATCGAATAATACAGATGTATTTTTATAACCTTGCGTCATAGAAGTCCCCAGATATTAATATCTGGGGTTTATTAAAAAAAAGATTCGAATCGTTTCAACTTAAGCTTACCTCCAAGATTTAAAACAAATGTAGTATGATTTTTATCAGCCCAAGTTTTCATAGCATCGGCAACTGGAGTCTGACCGGTACCAGGACCATGTTGTCCCCAATCACCAATAACCAAAAAATTAATATCGCCTTTATATTCTTCTTTGAATACAATAGGAAATGGATCACTGATACTGCAACTCGGTCTTTGGTAAAGGTTTGATCCTTTTGGTGTACTTGAGACCAGAATGCATAAATGTATAAAGGTAATGAAAAGTAAAAAGAATTTCATTTTGGATAAAATTTGGAATTTGTTTTTTATGTTTTTTATTTGTAGTTTATGGCTGTATATGAGTATAAATGGGCAATTATCGATATCTAGTGTATAAATTAGTATAATTTGGATAACAATAAATACATCAAAAACTCCGAATTGCGATAGCTAAGAAAAATAAAGGCAATATAATAAAAAGATGCTGTATTCCAAATAATTAATTAGAATGGGTTACCCGATATGTATAAATTTTAAAAGGTGTACCTGTGTACGTATGCAATACAAATGTACCTAAATATAGAATTACATATAGAATTACAAGTGACGGTGGGGTGCCACCGGCGCCCTATTGCATTACTTGTGCCAATTTTGGCCATGTTCTTTAAAATAGATTTACTATTTCTATTTAATTGACATCACGCTGGGTGACAATTTATTAACAATATGTACCCATGACTAATAAAATGCTAAATTGTCACTCTTAGTGATGTCGAGGAAATGAGATACCGTCAAATGATATCAATTAGATCATATTGACGACCTTAAACAACGAGTCAGTCGCTTCTCAATCGGATACGTCGTGTAACCTACAAGTCGACTTAGTCGAAGAGGCGTGTTATCTTTGGCGAGTGGATAATTTATGATTGTAGGCATTATTATATAATGAACGCAAGATATTATTATTAGGGGACAAATTTTATTTGGATCACGAACAACGAATGTCCTTTCCGTAGGGCTCGAAGCCTTTATTGTATACTTTCTTTTACATAAGACACATTATACACTCTATTCGTGATATATTAATTATACTGGTTATAATGTTTATACTGATTATTATAATTATATATTATATCCCACTGATTCCCCTTATTACACTAATATCCATCATAAACCCGATACAGAATATGAATACAGTGGTAAACCCATTTTAGGTAGGTGATCGACATAGCCGTTAATTCGTTACTGCGCCACACCGATCACCTACGTCCTACCGCTCACAAATGTACCAGGAACGGAGTGATGAAATAACGAATTGTATGGCTTATAAGGTGCAAAAAGCGATATCCGTCCACAAAATCTTAAGTTTGATTGGTCCGCGTGACTATTCGTCAAATTTTTACACATGAATTCATCACGCATATAGATCAACGGATATGAATTCATACAGAGGGGTCGGAATACCTCGGATTTAGCCCGGCATTTAGTTAGCATTTAGTAATACAAATTAACCATTTTGGGCCAAAATTATCAGCTGGGCAGCTTTACTTAATGAGTGAGCTATGGTTTCATTAGCAAAACTTTTAGTGATCTTGGGCAAAATTAGTTAATTCCGGCCCTGCCGATCATGATTCCGATGTATTCCGACCCGGAATTTTGGGGATCCCCTGTATGAGTTACGGATATGCACGTGCATTCGGATATGTAATCAGAGCATAATTTGAATACAAAAAAATTAAAACATAAGCGGTGTCGTAGTTGCAATAACTAATGATAGTAAAAAAAAGGAATTTTGGATTCAAAAATTGGTAACCCGGTGCAAATTAATTTGTTATTTGGCATTTTTTGTTTTTTTTTCGTAGGATTTTTTATTGGGTTGATTAAATGATAATCACTGATGCCTTGTAAACCTTTGTTTGATTAGCTAATGCAAGTTATTACCTATAGTGTCTATCAAGTGCTTCGCAATATATTAATGAGATGTTAGATCTATTCTTGTTTGTATGTTACTTGGACTATTTGCTGACTACTATATTTGCTTTCATTCCTGTTTCTAGCATGACTACGTTATGCAACTACCTTATTAGAATTATACACTCTGCAAGCACAAGGCAAGCATTAAACTTATTATTATTTTCTTCATTCCATAATGTTATTATTGTTTGTGGTTTTTTTTTAATAAAAAATCATTGAAATTTCATTTGAAATGATTTTTGAATATTTATATAATTAGGGAATGGAAAAATAAACATGGAATCCAAAGAAAACTCAAATTATGATTAGTGAAAATAAATATTTAAAGAAAAAATTTCATAAAAAATTTATTTTAAAAAAGTCAAATATTTATAATTATTTTAGAATTCAAAATTTTTATATAAGAAACAAGAAATAATCTTTGTATAGTTTATATAATTTTTGAATAAAACTTATTTCTTTGGCTCAGTTTTTATATAGCACCTGATTCAAAGTAAATACTTCTCACTTGTAATCAATCACAAATTAATTGTAATGAATATAATTTCTTATCAATTTTAATATAAGTGTAATATTAATAGTCTCTATTGTTAAAATTTATTAGTTCTATCTCTAATATTACATAAATTAATTTAAATAAATTCATTCATGGCTTATAACAAATTATCATTATTGACTATAGAGACAAAACATTAAATAGATTAATTAATATTCTAATCATTATAAATTAGTAAATTGAATTAATACTGCATATGTAAAATATTCACATAATAATCATTAACAGAAATTGAAAAATTAAAAATAGTAGAATCTAAAAGAAAATTAAGAACTAAAAATTTTAATCAATCAATTTTAATATATAGTATAAGCAAATCATTTATTATAAATTTTTAGTAATTTTGCAGATAAAATAAATAAAGAATTAATTAGCTTAGAAAGATTTTTAAAGTTGAGCAGTTTATTTGTAAGTTTATTTTTAGGACAAATTGATATTTTTGTTGATAATATTGTAATAATTACATCTGAAACTGGAATGCTTTTAATATTGCTAATTCATTTTTATTTTTTATATTATATTATTTAATATTTTATGTTATATTAATAATTTTTTATAGATGCAGTTGGTCTATTAATTTGTTAATTGGATATAACATTTAGAAGTGCTTTTAGTAAACTTAAAACATAATTTATACCATATTTCTATATTAATATTTCATTATACTTAGTATCATAATGAAAAAGTCTTTCAGTAAACATCTTAGATATAATAATACTAACATCTCTAGTACAAGATAAGGTAAAATATTGTAAATCCTATTTTTTAAATTAGAATCATTATTTTTTCTAAATAATTCTAGATCAGCAATATAAGATATCAAATTACTATTAACATATTAATATTGCAATATATTATCATTATAAAAATCTTTATAAATATATTTGCTTTGTATATATTTGTTAAAATTTTAAAAATATTAACAAGTTGGTTTAATTTGCTTTTTTAATTAAGATTTTTAAAATTTAAAAATAAGTTATTATAAAGACTTCTTTTATTTACATATTGAAATACTATCAAATATTCATTATGAGTTATGTCTTAAGTTAGTTCATATATTTTATAATTATTATTTACTAATCTAATTCTGTGTAACTTTTAAACTTGTTAATTTGAAACAAAAAGTTTATAATGTTAATAGTTTATAATTTATTTATTAAGATTATAAATAAAACACTTTAACATGTTTCTTTTAAAAAATTTATTTGTAAACCAAATAAAGTTTAAATATAACTATATATAATAATGAATATAATGGTGTAAGCTTATTAGAAGTATATAAAACTGTTCTTTTACAATCTAACCACATTACACAAAACATAGTGCAAATCCTTTTTTATCAGTCATTTGAATATTAACTAAACTATTAAAAAAAATTTATTCAATTGCATTTACATGTTTTATATTTTTAAGTTAAAATTTCTTAATATACTTATTGATATCTTATTTTTACTTGTTCATCATTGTGTTAATTTTTAAAAGTTGCATATTTGACACCAAATATATGATGCATTATATCATTTGCAATTTACATATGTCTTATTATTTATATCTTTTTTATTATAAAATTTATTAAATACTAATATATACTTATTGTTTGTATTGTTTTAAGTTAATCTATATACTTTAAAATCACTATTCTTTACTGTATATAATTTGTAAACTTATTAAAACCAAAATATATTAAAGCTATATATAAGTGTAACAATAATAAATTTTTAATATTTTAGATTATTTCTTTCAATATATATGATAAACTTTGTGTTTTATTAATATTTTAAACTTTACTTTACATGATGGTACATGTAACTGTATATATTTATATTTATTATTTTTAATTTTATATTCATAATTTTGAATTTTATCTAACCAAATTGCTAAAACTGTATCACTAATATTTTAAATATTAGCTAACTATTAAAAGGAATCCATTTGATTATACTATAATAAAATATCAATTTAAGTTAAATTCCTTAATGCATTTATCAATATTTCTATTTCTGCTTGTTCATTCTTGTATTGTCTTTTGAGTGTTGTATGTTTTGATATCAAGTATAATATAGACTAGGTGCTAAGAAAAGGAACAAAATTGACATTTTTTCAAAAGCTATTTTTTTATATAAATCAATTGAAAATAAGATTAAGATCATTTTTTACTTAAAACTTAAAAGTAGTTGCGTTAATAAAAATTTGTAATATAGCTTTTTAAAGTTTGCATTTTTTTATGATTTATTATAAGATTTACAATATAAAAATTGATTTTTTGAAGATCTTTTTTTTGTCAATTTTACTCTTTTCTTAGCATCTAGCCCATATATGTTATATTATTTACAATTTGTATATATACTGTATTTATAATCTCTTTTATAACTAAATTTATCAAATACCAATACATATTAATTTGTAACTGTATTTTGGATTAATCTATAATACTTATATTTTTTAATTAACTCATTAATTGCTATATTAAATATATAATAGTATATTGTCATTAGGAATAGTTAGGTTATAGTTAAATCCTAATAGGTTCTAAATAAATTAATAATTTTTATACTAATTTTTTATTTTTTTGTTCTTAATTAAAATTATTAATTATAAAATAATAAACAATTTTATTTATAAGTATAAATCAAAAAAACTTTAAAGTATCAGAAATAAAGTATAAAATTTGGAGAGTATAGTCTTTTAGCTAGCAATTCTAAATATTTTATTAAATGTTCCTACTTTGAGACTTTGTGTGCTAACATATATAATGATGTTTATTATCTAA